AAAATTAACGACAAATCCTTAATTTTTCACTAGAAAATTTACTTGAAATAATAGTTGCTTTCTTCTGAAAGCTGATAATAATCAGGATTTTAATTTTATTGATCAATTTTACCGTTATAATTAATTTTATAATAATTTAACCGTTCTTTTAATTTTATAATATCGCTAGTTTAAACATGATATGATCAAAAGTAATAGCTTCTATTTTAATAATTACTTATTTGAAACAAGTTCGTGTGCAGAGATATATAAGATCTGATTTTCGTTATATGTTTGTTGTTGTTACATACTGAATGCTTTAAGATATGATTAAAAAGTATGATTTGTATAGTGCGCACACAAGGATTTCGTATTAGTGTTGTTCAGATACGAAAGTTAAGGAAAGCAAAGTTTTTAATTTTTAGCCTTCAGTATAAAACCTTTCAATTCTATAGCGTTCTTGGCAACTTCTTACAATTGCTTAATTTTGTCATGGAACTCATTTTTTGGGAAGACTGTTTGTAAAGGCCTTATTTTAGCCTAACGAATTATTTTTAGTTTTATAAACTTTACTTTCCCTTCTAATTTCAATTTCCTGCCAGAAATGAAAAATTTTAATGACTTGTATGCAAATCTAAGTGAGATCGGAATCAGTATTTAAACAGCGGTTTTAAAAGTTTGTAGTAGGAGAATTAGTTCCGAGTTTGCGCCACGTGTTTGAAGTAGTTCTGTACGTGAATAGTTGGTGCTTAGTCGCTCTCTTTAGAACATATTGATATTCTAGGCTCGGCTTTGCTGTGTGCAGCCGATTTAGCGGTTTAGATAAAGAAGGAGCCAGTCGTGTAGCTAATCCATACTTTTATTGTGATTGTGTATTTTATTAAATTCCTACTATTAGCTCACATTCTTCCTACGTCTTGTTCATATTTTCAATCTTTAATAAAACACATTTTATTTATCCGCTCAAGTTTAACTACATTTTAAAAAAATGTTTAAAAAAACAGGTTTAAAAAACCTGTAGTGGATGACACTTCATGTTAACATAGGTTTTTCAAATATAAATCTTTAAAAATTTTTAATAATTAAAATTTTCTTTTGTATTTAAAAAACATTCTTTTTTTTTGTATTTAAAAATTTTTTCTTTGTTGACCTTGTAGAGTTCCTCACTTTGTAAATGCTAAGTTATTTTGTGAACCGTGAAGGATCTTAAGACCAGTTAAGCGAATAATCGCTTGAGTTCGTGCGACAAGAAACAACAAGATGAAAGGGTAAATAACCCTTTATTATTCAAACAAGATTGAACAGAACTCCGTCTTGGAGTATAGAAAGACGACACTTGAGCTTGAACTTAAGAGGCTGAGAAGTCAACTAAAACTATTTTAAACTAAACAGATATAGCCGAAGCTATCAAAGTTTTAATGCAGTTGGCCCCTTTAACACGAGATGACTGCGAAGCTATCAAGGGCCCGAGAACGGCCGGACATAATAACAGCTTTGAGAGAGAGTAGCCAAAAGGCAGACTCGCGCAAATCAGAAACTCTGATTCTCTCTAACTCAGCAAGTAGAACTTCACGGTTAAATATCGCTCTTCCTCATTATGTATTCAGAGTGATTCTAAAACTACGTTCTGGCCGTAAGTAGTAAGTTGAAATTAAGAATTTGACAGGAAAGGAACTTTAACTTGAAATTTAACTGTTAATAAAATGAACATAATCCTTACAACCTAAGTAAGGAATTGACTTCAAAAATTTTTTTTATATTGCTTGTTTTGCTGTTCAAGTTACTTGACCACACGTGGTAGTCAATTTTGAGCACCGAGTGAGTGCATTTCTGTTAAGTTTAGTTCAAATAAAAAAAGTTATTTAAACCTTCTTTTTCAGTCATCTGTTCTTCCAAGACCTAGCGAGAACTCGCTACTTAGTCTTTTCAGTCAGTGTACAATCTATGATTCCAAAACGGACTAAAAAGAATCTACATGTTTAAATCTCTGGTCATGGTTTTCTGAATCTCTTCGCTATTATTAAAATTAGAATCATTTAGATGAGGTTCACGTTAAACAAAAAATACAAAATAAAGGAGTCTGTATGGACCAAATTTATCAAATAAGTGTGTTGAGAATTAAAAGAATTTTTTAACGAAGGAAATTACTTGACGAGAAGGATGTCGCACTGCCGTACATCAGAAACCAGTTATTAGACTAAACTTTTCAAGACCTGATGCTTTGGATTCCCTTCAGAAGTCTGTCCATTACATCGTTAAGAATGTGAAATTCACCGTCTGTCTCCCAGAAAAATATTATTTGCGAAGTATAAATTTCCAGTAAAAAGGGCACCAAAATGATCTTTATTCGAGATTTCTGAAACCGAATTTTCTGTGGCGTCTGTAAACCTTTCCCAGTTCAAGTAAATGACTGCATGTTTTCTCAGGATAATAAGAAAATCAGCGATTTTTATACATAGCAGTTGTCTGAAAGACAGGCATAATTTCTGTCATCCAGATCAAATTATGGCGAGCAGAAATTGGATCTTCCTTCCAGTCTAAACTCAATAAATAAGCGTAAAAGAAAAAAAAAGTTTCGTTTTTTCAGGGTCGTCCAGGACAATTTTCTCATCAGTTTCTTCACTGATACGAAGCTCATTAGCTACAGTAGGTTCCACTTAATGTGATCGCGGTTAGCGTTATTATTTGGATATTTATATGGAACTGCTGTAGCCCTAGCCATTTGCATACGTAAACAAAGAAAATACATCGCTCTTTGGGATTAACAATATGTCGGTTAATGTTATTAAAATAATATGCGATGAAGTTTTTTTCCTTATGTAAATGAACTTTAATAAATGAACTTTTGCGTAAACAGTCAACTATTTATGACACTTTTACTAATTAACATTCTGTGAAAGTAAGTATTAATATGATTCCAGCTATGCTTATATTAAATTAGTTAAATTTTATTAATATTGTGAAAAGTATTTTTCTCATCTCGCTTAATGTATCGCCCACTGTATCGCTTGAAAATACAAGTAAAGTTCTTTTATCAAGAATTATCGAACTTTTCTAAAGTCTTTATTCGTTCGAGAATGGACAGCGACCGCTACTGAGTTCATCATTAGCATCTTCCCATCCAACACGAAACCATCCGTACCAACGAAAATATTGAATCATGTTAACCCTTGGTTTCCATTTGTTTTGTACAATATTTTAGCACGGCTGTGAAGTCGGTAGGGAAAATGACCGACTCCGACTCTGACTCTGACTCTTGGAATTTTAATGGCTCCGACTTCGACTCCGACTCCTTCATATATATGTAAACATATAAACATGGGTACAGCTTATTTTTTTAATATAAAAGAAGTAGTAGATGCTACAGATAAAAATTGATACATAGGAAGAAATATTTTATATTAATTAGCATTTATTATGAAATGGAAAAACTGTCATTAGTAATGCCTAAGAAACAATAAAACTTCGGCAAGATCTTCTTTGTTAGACTTGAGTAAGAAGAAGAGCTGTTACTGTTACGGCTACTTCCTTTAACTTTTCAGGATAGATTTTTTAAGTTCTAAAAGAGGTGTCTTGCAAGAGCAATCATATTTATCTATTTCTTCAAAGGACGTGTATAAATCTTGTTTGTATTTTTTCATTTTTATATCTATAGGCTCTTGGTTCTTTATTTTCATTCGCTTTGCCTTAGCTTTTCAATATTATCCAAATATTTGTCAAACTTTAATTCATCAGTGGAAGAAGATGATAGAGACTCAGTTGCAATATCTGCAGTTTGACTGTCCTGATTCGAATACTCCAGTTGTTCTGAGAATAATTTCATTCTTAATGAAAGTTCACAGATGGCTTTCTTTGCTTTTTTGATTTGTTTGTCATCCAACAAAACTCGGCGTTTTTGGATCTCCATATATTGAACCCAGCAAGATTTTATTGTCTAGCAAACTAGTTTCTCTTTTCTTCATTGAAGAAATGATTCCTTCTGCAATAAACCCTCTATTTCAGGAACAACAAACATCGCATTCGTCCAGTCTCGCCTCCTGTCAATTCTTCAGATTGTAGCTTTTGTGTGGCTATATGTGGTGTTGAAAGAAGGATTTCCAGTTCTGCAAGATCATTCCATAGTCTTTCTGTTAGTGAAATATTAGGGTTATTTATATCTTCTGAAAACGTTCGTAATTCTAACAACCACTTTAACATCAAATATGTACTTCTCCATTGCGTTGCTCTTTCTCCTACTGGCTTTCTAAGAACATCAATTTTGGGAGTTCTTGCTGCTTACCTAAATTTACCAGTGAGATTTGTAACTAAATCAGTTTAATCACTAATGGCAAACATCACATCCATCCTTCTCCCTTATATTTATTTATTAATACGTCAATAAAATAGAAAATAACTATTTATTAATGTATATAGTTCATAAATAAAATATTAACTCAGTTTGACATTAATTTTTTCAATTTACTTTAATTTCATTTCAAATTCAAGCTGTACAACAAAAACTGGAGTCGGAGTCGAGGTGTTTTTTAGAAACTCCGACTCCTTTTACCCAAAAATCTACCCGACGCCGATTCTGACTTCATGACTCCGACTCCACAGCCCTGTATTTTAGAAGTACCTGTTGCTGTTTCTCCGCTTTACAACAAAGCTTTATAGCTGTTCTTTGCTCAGGGTTGGAATCTATGACAACAGTTGACGGTAATTACATCGAGGTAAAGGTTTGACTGCTTGGAAATTTTCGCCCGTAAGCAGACAATATTTTAAGATGAGATATCGTGAACTAAATGATGTAAAATGCTATTTTAAATTTTATTTGATTAATTTTATAACTTAAGACATACTATATGTGAGATGTAAAGCTAATGTATTTTTTTAGTCCGGAAACATTGACACGTCAGAAGGTGTTAATAGTTTAAGGTATTTTTATCTGTGATTTTATTATTTTGTGTTTGTAATATTCGATCTCTATGCAAAATAACAAGTTTGAGAATTACTAAATAATGGCCATTCTTATTTTCTCGCAGATGTTTTGTTACCATTGTCCACTCAGTGTGCCCCCATCATCAGTGGCGCCAAGGCCTCCGCCTCTTCCATTCTCAGTGTATTCAGCTGTCTCCCCTTGTGAGTATAACACTTCGTCCTAATATTTTGCTTTAATTTCAGCATGTTTCAGCATTTATGGGTAATCATTGTTATATGCCTTTTAATTATTAATCTCTAACTCGTAGGTTAAAGATTGAATGTGATCTGTTTGCAACTGGTATGGCCGAATCCTGCGAGTTCATGAATAGAGCTGTATATTTTGAACGTTTTGATAAAAACGCTTCAAATGTGCAATAAGTTGCTCCTGATTTATTTTGTAGGGACTGTGCCTGCAACTAGGTGTAACTTGTTGCAGATCCTTAAACACACGTGTAAGCAACATATCGCTGTGTCCAAGACGAAACAGAACTTAAAAAGGATGTAAAAGACGCTTTTATTCGGAACTCAAAATAATTCAACAGAAGGCATCTCCTGTGCTTACAAACCAGTCAGCATTTATTCCGTAACTCAAAATGATAGAACTGTTGGCGAGAATAACGCAACGTCGAAGTCAGACTGCTATTTCAGAATTTCAACTAGCAGCGTCGCCTTCAGAAGGCGGAACACGCTCTGACTAAAAAATCTAAACCTTCCTCTAAATACTATCTTTTTCTACCTCGTTTGAATACGCGCGAACCAAAAATAAGCATTCTGGTAGGAAAACGAAAAGGAAGAATGAAAGTAAAGATATTTAACATAAAATAACTGATTAAATAAAAATAAATATATACTTACCATTTCAAGAAAATTACGGTTTTTATTTTCACTAAAAATGAGCGAGGTATTAATTATTGATCTATAATTGTTCTGAAAAAACTTTTGTGTGTATTAATGTGGCAAGCTTCTACTAGCTCATGAATATAATTGTGCAAAATTCTTTCTCGGGAAGTCAATATTTTAAAATCGATCGTTATTCACAAAGAATGTTTTCAGCCGGTTCTTAAGAAAGATTTTTAAAAATATGCTGTTGATTTCATGAAAGACGTTCGTATATCAGACGTGACTAGTATAACAATATTATCACTATCCCATTTCCTAATACAACTGCTCGCATTCGATATAAGTTCAACTTTCAAGGTAATATTGTCAGTAAAATTATCAGTAAAGTTTGGCAGTAATATTGTCAGTAAAGTTTGCCTGTCGGTAAATTTCATTAAGCTGTTCTTAAAAGATAGCATATTTATCATGCGAAGAAATATAGTATTACGAGTTTTTGCCCTAGATTTTAATTTTGGGGGAATTTGTTGCATAACTTACCTAGTTTGACATATTTTGGGCAAATTAAAACGTGATTAAAATTTTGCACGATAAAGGAACATCAAAAGGATGAAAAGGAACGCGATTTCTATGTTTATAAAGCGGAGATAAATAAATCTTTAGCTACTTCTGTTTTCAAATAATGTGAGGTAAATTGGCTGTTATTAACTCTTAGAAAAGGGTGCTTTTTTACTTCAGTCGTGAAAAATTTCGGGTATAACTCTTCAACGAAAATAACCATTTCGACCGCTCTCGAAACCTTTGCACGATGTTTTAGCCTGACATCTGTACGTACGGACAGAATAAAGGACTGTTTTTGACAAAAAAGTTTGTAAAATGGATTTAAAATAGATTCAGAAGAGATTTTTTTCTTGACGTCTCTACGTATGTATGTATCTCGTATAACTCAAAAACGAGCAGCCGTAGAACGTTGAAATTTTGTGTATGGGACTGCTATAACATGCAGTTTTGCACATCCCTTTTTCCTTGAAATGGCTGCACCAGTTGTATACATTTATATTGTTACGTTTTTTTTTTTCTTCTGACATAAGTTGTTACGTTATTTTCTTCCTTCACGTTTGTACGGGGTTTGTAGATTTGGAGTGAATAACGACGACACTTGATGAAGTATCAAAACACACTTTATTTGGCAGTATTGTCAGAACAGCTCCAAAACACGTTTTACAGTCGTCGATGAAATACTATAAACAAGCTGACATGATCAGCGGCACAGCCTTCAGGTTATCAGGCTATCACGGTGGAGACAGCTTCCTGCAAAGCACCCGACTATGCTTTTCGGAGTACAGCTCCCGACTCTGCTTGGTCGTTCTCGGAACTCCACGTACTCTCGAGACTCTCCACGCTACAACTCGCGATCCACTCGACGACACACGAGAACAGCTCCCGACTCTTCGGTTCAGTCATTCCCGGAGCTAAACACGCTCTCTCGACGATGCACTAACTCGCGATGCACTAAAAGACTCTCTCGATGCACTCGACGACCCGAGTGAACTTTCAGTTACATGCACCGAAAATTATGCCTTGAACGCTGGCCGATTTGTTTGTTTTTGGTAAAAATTCTAATTTTAAATGAAAATGTGTTGTTGACTGTTTTAACTGTATTGGTGTTTTATGTTTTTGTGTATTTTACAATTTTTAATATATTTTACAATATTTTGAGTTTTTATGTATTTTAGCTTTGCCGCAAAGTGAGAGCTAAATTAATTGAATAAGATATACATCTCTGAAATAAGTGTAGATGAAATGCAACAAAAAATGTGCATAATTTAATAGGCCATCAGATTATTTACTGCCTTGCGCGTCGATTTACTTGCCCTGTAGAAGGGGTTTCTTCGTACGCGCAAGCATGTTGCAAAGAAACACACATTACAAGGTCGATACAAATGCGATGAGCAAGAAATTTCTCTTTTTTTTTTTCAACCTGCAGAAATAAGCAGTTATAATTATTTAATATTATAAGGTCACAAAATTAGAAAGAATTAATTAAAATAATTTTGAAAATTTAATTTGCTTCCATGATATGAAATTAAAAGCAATCTGCCAATTATTTTCAATAAGGAATTGTTTATCTTCGGGTATTAATTTTTTCCCCCAAAAAGTATTTTATGCATAATTTAACATTTCTTCTTCACGCTTTAGAACTATAATTATGATTAAGCAGTGGTTCAATGAAATTGATATGCAGTGGAGAAAAAACAAGATATGAAAGAGAAAACTTCAACTGGCGTGTCAAAGAAATAATTGTATAAGATTTTATTCTGAGTCGAAAACTGAAAATGAATAAGCGTTCTAAAAATTTAGAAATGGTCTAGAATAGTTAGAATTCAGTAACAAAATATTAATTCAATATCTGGCTATTTAATAAACGGAGTTTGAAATTGAACTGTAAGTTGTGTCAAAGTTTTGAGAATAATTCATTATTCTTAAAATGATGAAAGGAATTTTAAGATTCAATTATGTTAAGAAAAACATATACATCGGCGAAGAATTTTAATACTTTTACCATTATGACTTTTGAGAACAGTTTGATTTCTTGCTTCTGAAGTTCACAATTCTTTTAAAATCTTAATATGTGCCTACTTCAGTATATAAAAACATACTAGATGATATGTAAAAAATAGTTTTAATATTATTTATGCTATTATGAAAGTCTTGGTTTAAGAATGACTAAGTAATGCATGGAGGTCAGAGTATAAATAAATTATAAGAAAATACGGTTTAATTTGAGGCCAAAACCAGACTACAATACTTACATAAAAGCATAACTTGAAATTCTATAATAATTACAATTTGTTCATATGAAAAATTGATAGTTGTTTTGAAAACTATTAATAATTTATTTTTGTTAACATGTTTATGTAAATTATTCGATGGATATATGCACTGGATTTTGTTAACGTAGTTTTAAGTTCAATTTCATCCATCATATCGGGAAATGGGAAGTGACAGGGCTAAAAAACAGATAGCGATTCGTAACTGAATCTGAGATTTCTATAAAATAACAGAACAAAAGAGAGAAAGATTTTAGAAATAGCAATATCAGAAGAGACTATAAGCAGTTACTAGATTTTAGATCATAACAAGTCACTTAACTGACAAATAATTAAGATTTAGGAAATTGCTTTTTTCTTCAAAAATAAACATCTAACATTATAACTATTATAAAACTCATGCTTTTTCTTTTTAATTCCGATTTTAAAAACTCAGAAGTAGAAGGATATAGTGTCTCGATCAAAAACCATCAATGTCAAAAGGTAGCTGCAATTCACTCATCCGAAGTGTGCAAGTTCAAACCTGAGTGTGTGAACTGTGCCAGACCGCTAGTTCCGAACGGTATGCCGAAAGGATTGAAATAGAAAATAGGATGTGTTGCAAATATCTGCAGTCTGTACTCACTACAAACTTCAGACGATGTTCAAAATTCTTCTTTGTTACTCAACAAAAGGCTTAGCAAAATCTAACCTTAGAAATAAATTAAAAAACTGCGAAATCACCTTTGTCTGTAAAGATGATTCGGATGCTATAATTCCCCCTAGAATCCAGAGCAGGCTGTGTTCCCTCGTGATTCAAAATAATCCTCCCAAAATTACGTATGGATGCGCTTATATTATGTTAATGATATAAGTTATGTTTCTGAGATTTTCAAGGCAATCGAGGAGGAAATTAGTGGCATTTTTAAAGTTTTAGGGTTCTGTGATTTTTGCTAACAGTTATTTTAATTTGTTAGACATTACGCCCCTCACGTTTCCTCGTCAGTATGTTGATCAGTTAGGGTGAACGAGAATCAAGTGTTGATCAGTTAGGGTGTATTTAAGCTGAGGTAGCGAAAAGCTTAGTCCGAGCGTGGTTTCTCTATTATGAGCGCACGTTGTTAATTCTACCAGCTTTTTAACTTTGAATTTTGGCTTTGCGTTTCCGCCGCCGAAATTATTACCCTGTCGGTTTCTGAGTCAACCTATTATTTTTAATCGAATTGTGTAATCTTGCACCACTCTTTAACTTTGAATTTAGTTGTTACTTTACCTCTTTCCATACCCCATGCCCCAAGTAGTTGGTGGGTGTATAAGCACGGAAGTCCGTGCCGTCTGTAAACTATTGTTCAATAAAAGTGTATTTTACACCCCTTCTCTGTTGTATTCATCTTCGAGTTTGGGCGAAAAGTCGAAAGATAGACATTGAAGTAGATCTAGTTACGCTGCAGGTAGAAAAGAAGGCATGCTAAGAAGGCGGGAGAAATACCTTATAACTTGATCTGTAAATTT